AATTAATTCGACTTCTGTTTCGCACGTGCCCTTAGACGGAAGCTATACTGAAACAGTGCCATCCCTCCGTGCTCTTCAGTAAGGAATGGAGGAAAAAGCGTAGAAAGAGCACAATTGCTATAGTTGGCAACAAAACTAGACTGGACTCTGCGGGAATATCCTGCCTCTTCACGATAGATATACAGGGGGGGGCAAAAAAAGAGTCACTTTGCCTATGGCGCATATCATCAAACTTTTCGTCGCAAAGGATGCCGCTGTTATTGGGAGTTATACGGCGAATTATTCCTTAGATGTCCCCCCATAAGCAGAATCAGGCCCACCTTCGCTGCGTTCACCGTCTCCAGAATATGACGTCATCTGTCATCACCGTCGAGCTTCAAGAGGCCTACAAATAATCGCTAAATTCTGAAGCTGCAGCATAAATTTCTTCAACCGGATAAACTGTGTGAATGGCTTCTTGGGACACTAGCTCTGACTATGCAAATGGCTTTTGACCAGCGTTTCAGAGACGTCGTAATCGTCTATGGTTTCTCGACGACCTCGTTGAGCTCGTACCGAACCATGTTTCCGTGGGAAAATCTTCTGATGTCGTCGGTGTAGAAAGCCCCTATGTAATTTTTTTTAGATAGAATGTGCTCTTCAATATGCAATTGAGCTCATTCGGTTTGGTTTTGGCAAAGTGTAATTAATTCTGTTTTGAATGTGAGTGAGAGTGACTCTTTTTTTGCCCCCCCTGCACATTCCCGGAAAGCTAACAGAACGGAGATGTCCGCCGTGCAGAGGCGGGATACCTTCGGAAACAGCTCAATCCTACGCATCGAAGGAACTAGTTCAGTGGTCTCGTCCGCTGTAGCGAAGTCTTAGTAGTCTGCAGTTAGCTTGTAACGACAACCCAACAACTACGTACAACTGAATAGACCTATACAAGGACTCGTATTCCCTAGCAAGCGACAGAAACAACACAGTGTCCGACCTTCATAGAATTTTCTCTTCATGACGACAGGAATGAGCAACTGTGAAATTCTGCGATAGAATTTCTCCGTGATGTAGTCATTACATAGGACTGTTCTCGAAGGAAATATAGAACCGATGGGTGGCTGAAAAAGAATACTTGCTGTAGTAATAGAGAACTTCATGAATACAGCCGGGCCAAAAAAAGCGACACTTTGCCCATGGCGCATATCATCAAACTTTTTGTCGCAAAGGATGCCTGCTGTTAAAGGATAGTTATACGGTGAAATATTCCTTAGATGTCCCCCATAAGAATCAGGCCCACCTTCGCTGCCTTCACCGTCTCCAGAATATGACGTCATCTGTCATCACCGTCGAGCTCAAGGAGGCCTACCATAATCGCTCCATTCTGAAGCTGCTACATAATTTCTTCAATCGGATAACTGGTGAATGGCTTCTTAGGGACACTAGCTCTGACTATGCAAGATGGCTTTTGACCAGCGTTTCAGAGACGTCGTAATCGTCTATGGTTTCTCGACGACCTCGTTGAGCTCGTACCGCGAACCATGTTTCCGTGGGAAAATCTTCTGATGTCGTCGGTGTAGAAAGCCCTATGTAATTTTTTTGATGAAAGAATAGAATGTGCTCTTCAAAATGCAATAGAAATCATTTAATAGTCCGCAATCTTCTGCACACTGTTGTATCACAAATGTGTTAGGTTGTCCCATAAGTAGTGTCGCCTCAATTAACCTAACTCGATCAGTTACTAATCATAACTGACCAGTAGTGGCGCTGTTCCGCTCTCGCGGTGGTGGACTGGGCCTTTGAGGAAGACGATCTCGTCGAAACGTCAGGCCACTAATAAAGTTCTCCACCTAACAACCTCGTTGGCAGAAGAATAATATTATAATATAAAATAAAAGGATAAAGCATTTGCCGTTGATCAATACTTCCATTTGTACATTCGCAGTGGCGTTTGAATGCGATGTGGCCTATACAATGACTTGCGGGGCCAGCCGATGTACAAGTCAGTGTTTTTATCCTCCCAGACAAGTCTGGTACCAATTAACCGACCCCGGAGGGATGGAAGGCTTGGCCCACGACCCAGGATTTGATCCCCGGACCGCTCGCGTGGTAAGCGCGCCACTTGTCACTACACCACTTCGCCCCAATATTATCGAGATCGAGTTAAGTTAATTGAGGCGACACTACTTATGGGACAACCTAACACAGTTATGATACAACAGTGTGCAGAAGATTGCGGACTATTAAATGATTTCTAAATAATCAGAAACAAGACAAGTAAGAAAAAATCGTTAGCCGAAATAAGTGACACCTAGCCTTCCATCAACAGTAGAATGTGCCATCATTTGAACATCGAAACTGAAATTGAACTCACCAATGAGAGCGTCTTCATCACAATCGCTCTTGCATGAAGAACTGCGGGTACGATTGCCATAGCTCAATAAACTTCTCACAACCTCCTCTGACCGTCACTTCCTGAGATACTTGGACTCAGCTCCCTTAAAGCAACAATCCAGGAACGAATTCGCGGGTAAGGACCACCTATAATGACGTTGCAGGTGAGAAGTTGGTCAATGGAGAAAGAAAAAGTAGAAAAAAACGTCGGGCAGGGGCTTAGACAGGGACTCCCCCTGCCGTTTAGGGAGACGTGTGTTGGACGAGTTGTCCGAACCTGCCCGTAGTACATGCGCTCCAATTGCAACTGCTGGCAAATAGCCATGCATGCTTGCAAATACATAACTATTTGCCAGCAATCGAAATTGAAGCGCGCTTCAATTGCGTTCTTATGGAATCGACCTCATACAGCGCGGCGGTCCCGCAACGACCGCTAGTCGAGCAAGCGCTCTGCACAGCTGCTTGGAGGCGGCCCCACCACGGATCGGTGGATCCGCCCCTCTTGAAGGATTTCGACTGCTTCCAACGCCTTTCAGAGGTAAGTTTTGAAGTTTGTGACATTTCCCATGAACTCCAATCAGGCTGAGGCATGTTTCCACCACTTGAAAACCAAATGGTTGAAACCCTGCCTGGACTGTTGCTTTAAGGAGGATACGATATAATGATTGGGTTGGGTTCATAGTGGAAGTGGAGATGCTGTATAATTCTCTACTGGCGAAAAAAAAAGCAAAGAAAGCCGTCAGCAAAGTGTTACCGCTTTTTCTGCTCGTTGAACTCTCAGACTAATGACGAGCTAGCGATCAGTCTGAAAGTTTGCTTGCGCAATCAGTTTAGAGGTCGATAGCCACCGCCATACTAGCTCAAAGGCCATGATTTAATTGTCAACGTGTTCGATGCGGATGTTACAGGACACGCGTTAGAATTTGAATGCCTTCACAAAATGATCATCGAACAACGGCTGTAGAGGGGTGGAGCACAGGCGGTGGCGAAGCATAGAAAGGAATGGCAGCCTCCAGGCGTTGCAAATAGCGCACCTTTAGCCACGAAAAGGCCACATCTCGGTTCTCTCGTTCCCTGGCTACTGCTCACACTGGTGCTTCCGTGCTGCACACATCTCTAATCTTATCGTAATCTCTCGCTTTTGCTTTGAAGAGCAGTAGCAAAGTACAACAGTTTGATATCATAGGCCATCTACGTCATGAAATATCTGAAGGAGCTAGACCAACAGTATAAGAATGGACTGCAGTTCTGATCCACTATGAACGTTCCCACCGCCTCCCTAGTACTAGTACAATGCAAAGCTATTAGGTACCTCACTTAATATGTGGCATCACTCACATCACAACATCTTCTCGTTTCGAAGGTGTGTTGCAGTTGGAGACGAAAATAAGTGACCCTCTCGATTTCCTCTTTAACGCGTTGAGAATCTGAGAGTTCAATGGCAAAATCTGATTTCACTGCATTGAAGTATACTTTTGAAAGTTTCAGGGTTTCCCACCTCAATCCGTAAACCTTGCAACCAATTTCGAAAGTGTTGCAATCAATTTCGGGCACTAATGCATTATCACAACCCCAGCTTGGGGGGGGGGGGGTGGAGAGGGTAAGAACGGTCAAAAAAATTTGGTGAAACCCTATGAGGGTTATCGAGGGTCCTACTACGAATATGACTTCCATTTTGGCGCTGGCGCCAAATTGGCGCCATTTGGCGCCAGCTGGCGCCACGACTGATTCCCACAAATTCGCTGTAAACTTGTGTATAGGGGTTATTTGGGGCCCTGATTACAAATAAGACATTCGTTTTTATAGCTATCTTCGCTGGCCCTACGGGCCTAAAAAACACAAAAAAACCATGTCGTGTTCGTAATCACGGCCCCAAGCGACCCCTATACACAAGTTTCCAGCGAATTTGGTGGAAGTCAGTCGCGACGCCGATTTGGCACTAACGACTGAAATGGATCTTATATTCGAGATTAGGACCACGACAATCGTCGCAGGAAAGTTTTCAGCAAGAAATTTTCTGACCCACTGGGGTTGTTGTGGTGCATAGTGCTCGAAAATGATTGCAAGAACGACGAATTGGGGTCAAAACGACGAAATCGAGAGCGTTTAGAAATTTAATGCAATGTTTACGAATCGGGGTGAAAAACCCTGTTCATAAAATCGTAGAAAGGAATCACACATAGAGGAATTAAGCTTTGTCAGTAAATAAAAGGATAAGGAGTGGCAATGAGGTGGTTGGTAAACTTGCACAAAGTTCTACCTCTCCAAAATGGTTAACATGTTGACGAGTGGATAAAATGATGTCAGTTCAGCAATGTTATGCAATGATGGACCTACCTTTCGTTCGGATACGGTCACAGGATCTTCTCCTCTTCTTTGAGAATTCAACGACACGAACTGTCCGTAGGGAAAAAAATAGCGTGAGTCTCGTCTGTACGTCATCGTTGCGTTGAAGAAATTAGGTGGCACCTGTTTGTAAATATTCACTGTCATTATTACTTGAGTTTACTGCTGGCCATAAGCCATATCACAACAAATAAGTAAAGTATGGTTAGCAGCATTCACTGCTCCTCATATTGGTAACGGAAGTATTATCATGAGCAATGTATGATGAACAACAATGCACTGATATATGCTCTGTGACCTGATAGATATTACAGGAGTTTCTTCGTTTCGCAACCATACCAGATAGCGTGTTTCGAAAGGTTTTTTTGGCCAAATATTTTGTTGGGCCGGCGGGAACATTTTTCTGTTGGACAAATCAGTTTATCAAATTTTTCAATGATTCAGGGATGCAGACTTCTCTTCATCAGGATCCTAGTGTTGAGACAGAGAGAATTGAGAACCAAGAAATCTTCTCACTCGAGATCCTCGAGTACGAGCAAATTTGGAAAAACTTTCAAATTCTTGTAAAATGCTCACCAGTTCAACAGAACAATTAGAAAATGCTTGATGATTTTCATCAAGTATATTCAATACTTTGTTAACATCCTTGTGAAGTTGCTGAATCCACAACAGGACCTAGGTGTGGAAATTGTCAATGAATGGACTACCTATTGGGGCAAACTTGTCATTTCTTCTTCAAATCTGACGAGTTTCTGTCGTTCATATTCCTACTTCTTTTTTTGCTAAACATTCTATACTCATTTTCATAGTGACTTGATACTGTTAAAGGATGCTATGGCATAAAAAATGACTGGGAATATTTCTCAGGCTGGAATATTGGACGTAATAACTTCGTATAGCATAACGCTGCGGACGCGGAAGGGGAGTCTGAGACGATGAGAGCATGGCAACTGGACGGGATCTGCGAACCGCTGACGGAATGTCTCGGGACCCCGCTGCTCGGCCCTGGAAAGGTGAGCAGGCCGCCGTCACTTGCTCTTCGTTTAGCCCTTTGTACTCGAGGCCTTGTTCTCCCCGTAGTTGGAATCTCATGCTTCATTTCGCTGAGCCTATGTGCTGCATTTCGCTGGCTATGCCTCATACACTGTCTCATAGATCTTATATTATTTCTGATTCTGTCCGCCGTGTGGGCGCAGCACTTACTGGTAGCAGCGAATGAGAGTCCACTTTCTTATAGGACTCTCATTAGTTTTCTCCTCCTCATTTAATATCCTAACTAGTCAAATGGGGTCCTATCTGGGCGGATGCCGCAGTTGTCTTCTAACTTTTCGAGGCAGCTGCGCACTCGGCCATTCGTCTGGCAACGTCTGGCGCGCGTTTGTAGGGTGCCGCAGCCGGAATTGAGTCATTATGAATTGTTACCATTAAACCTGAATATTCTCAATGTGAGGTTCCTTTTCTTTGTGAGGTTTACATTCGGGTTATGTAAAAGTATCAGAAAGCCTTCGCCGGTTTGAACCGAGTTTGCGGTCGAGAATTGCCATTAGCACTCATAATCAACATCGATGACTCAATCTTCTCGGCACCATCTGGTGCGCCTTCTCTGTGCTTCTCCTCTTTCTCGACCCTTTCTCTAGCGAACGATCTCCCTTATTGGAATAAACAGGACTAGGGCTACGTTGCTAATTCAACCACTACAAGTCTCGGAGGCGATCGTGATCCGTTGCGATCGTCTGTCGACTTCTATCTTGTCAAGTCGAGGTGGGTCCTTTTATAGTGTTTTCTCCTTTTTTTTCGTTTTCTTCCGTTGTGCACAAGATAGGGCCGGGATTTCGCCGGCAGCTCGCAGGAGCTATGAGCCCTAGGTTGAGAATGTCTGAGTAGTTTCTTTTTGGAGTTAAATTTACGAGCTATTTTAAGAGGCAAAAATTATTGCTCCGCAGGCGGTGTGCTTGACTGAGCGTATGGGCGATTTGTTGGGGGTAGGCTCAGGATGGATTTCCAGTTGTAGCTCGACATCAATAGCAAAAAAAGCAAAAGGAGTCACTCTATTACAGTGTCAACCTTGCGCAAGGTGCAAAGGTTCTGATGGCACATATGCTCTGGATCACATGGTTTTGTTCAGTGCACCTAGTACTTTGGCTCATTGTTGTTGGTAGGCGTAAACTCAGTGTGGAGGCGCGTATTGACGTTTTAGACCGATCACAGATTAGCGCTTCAGTTTGATTTTTTCTTACTTTTCCCTTAACGGTCCAGTAGTGAGTCAGTCGGGTACCGGAGGACGTTCTTGTCTTTAGTTTCAGTTTTTTGTGATTCCTTGTATGAAATTTTTTCTCCTCCGGGTCTTATGTTTAGGCTTCTGAATACTATTTTTCTTCTGCAGAGTGCGCGTTACGATCCCTCCACACAAACAGCGGCAAAAGTTCCATCCGCTACATCTGCTACGTCGGGGGTACAGGTATGGTTCAGGCATAAGCTCGAAACCAAAAGCTTTAATAATAGGACCTGACCATCGTGATTTGCATTGTGTCGTCCTAGAACAGTTCGCCATCGACGTAACTACGGACAATCGCGGCTTCGACCAGACCCTGGTGTCAATCAATGATCTCGTCTGGGTCTATTCGGTTACACCAACGCGTGCCGCTCTCCAAGATCCCATAACAGTCTTGACGCCACTGCACTTCGAAGCTTGGTCTAAGTACTTTTTCAGGGTTGAATGCTTTGCGTTCATAACACCTTATGTCAACCCAAAACCCAGCGTAGGGATCGTGGTAAGCCTCATCACGCATGGTAACAATATCCGGAAGTTTCTTGCCGTTTTCGAATGCGCTTCCGAGGCGGTCACTGTTACGCGCTCGCGTTGTGCGAAGAACCTCGAAGATATTTACCAGTGCTCACTGGTCTTGGCTTGAACAAGATCAAATTCTTCCTACGCTATAAGGTTCTCTGAACCACCAGTCTCGGAACAGGCATGGGGCAAGTTGTGCCGGTCGGTTCGCCGCTTTCTGCATGTCAATACGAGCCGAGCAGTTCCCCACATGCGTGTGATGAACCTGACGCCTAAAGACAAGACTCGGATAACCGACCGCGCTAACGAGTTCGTAGGACGAACACTGATTCTGCCAAGAGGACGATGGGACAGCTTTTTAACGTTTCCTGCGCTGCGTTAGCCGCTCTCGCGACGATGCACGATGACACATCAGTGCACAGGGTTACGCTCACGCGACCTGAGGGTAACATGTGTACCATTCTCCTCGACTTTCCGGAAGAATGAAGCCAGATGGTGTGGAGGCCGTATGGTAGATTGTTGGGTGACAGGAACAAACCAAACCACCGAAATGCGTGTCGATTCCACCCTTCTCGACGTGGATACTAAAGAGCTATCCGTACGTATTATATGTTACCTGGAACCACGCTGCTCTGCTCCGAACAGTCGCTACACACGGCCGCCTACTCAACGATCACCATGTGATCGAGGGCTTTGTTCGCCTTGGCAAGCTCATCAAGTCCGTCAACGCAGCAAACGAAGCCATTTCACGTATGCTCCATATTTTGGAACGGGTGGGACCCATCGCCGTCACCATGACTACCAGCAATGGAGCATCCCAATACGCTAACAAACTGGCATCCCTGCAGGGCTTCCCCGAATCACGCCTTCTCTGGTACCTGTCGAGAACCGTGTTTCTTGATGAATCTCCCACCACGCTACACACGGCGGTGGATATTCAACACATTCTGAACCTTGGGTACCAAATTTGGGTCTGTGCTCACTCCTAACGAACGCGAGCTCTGTTCGCGCTTTCGTAGAGAACGTCATGAACAATATGCTGGTGACCCCCACCGATCGATGCACATGTCCGAGCAGGAGATCGAAGACTTCACTCTAACGGGTCTCGGAATGTGTTAAGAAGCTGGTCACGCTTATGTTCAAGGTTAGACCGCCTAACGTTCTAGTGCTCACAGCATCCCTTCTCAACACGACCGGTACAGGCAAGATCTTCAAGACCCACATAGCGGATCGCAAAATAATCATCATAGATGAAGCTTCCCAAGTACCGGAACCAATATTCGCCTGCCTCACCACCTTATTCCCACACGCCTCGCAGCTCTATGTCGGCGACATCAACCAGATGCAACCGCATACAAAATGCTCGAGCCACACCAACTCTGCTTTGTTCGGAGCACGCATTGTGATGGACGTCTTGGCGCAGTCTCCTTTAGTACCTACAGCAACGCTCATCACCACCTAAAGGGCGCACCCCGCCTTAAACGCGTTGCCTAACCTCAATGCTACAATGGCACGTTAGTCAGTAGAACCAGGGCGCAGGACCGCAGGTTCTTGCTCGATCGCATTTCCTTTCCTGACAGCCAGGTCCCCTTCGCCCTGGTGGATGTGAAAGGAAGCCCTGTTTGAGCGCCTTCCCACTTGAAGAAGACGAGGCCAACATATGCCTGGCGCTCATAAACCATTTACTGCGTTCCGGTGTCGCGTCTCAACAGCTGTGCGTAATCACCTTTTACCGCGAGCAGTACAGGCTCTTGCAGGACTTCGCTGCGGCACAGCAGATCGAGATCGCTACAGTATGGATCTTATTCAAAGGCACGGAGATGGACGTAGTAATACTCCTCACGACCCGCACAGGAATGGAAGGAGAGGCATCGACCTCAGTAAGACAACCGGCGCCACCGATCTCAAAGTTGGCCATCCTCGATGCCGTACGGACAATTTGTTTTTTAGAACAAGTCGACAGTCCCACATTGACGAATAGTTTCGGGAGTTAATCAGTGGGCTTACCGGCTGGCACCTGGTCGGTGTTGAAAGCGTAAGCAGTGCCGTGATAGTTACCATTTCGCATTGGAAAGGGATGTTTCCCAGCCCTAAAGGGGGCAGAGCGGGTTGTATAGCGTTCCATTATACACTGCGTTTCATAAATATAGGTCCACCCTAATTTTTTGCTATTCCAAAGTTGCTGTGCATTTTTGGAAAATGCCGCTATTACCAATAGTTTCCCCATAACGAAAAACCTTGATACTTGATTTCTGGAGAAATCTCGATTCAGAATTATTAAAATATCTTCCTTAGAACGTATTTTCACCCGTTTCGCAAATATGACTACACATCACTTGTCGGAGAAATTTTGATGTTATGACTAAAAACGTTCATAATTGTCAATTAATGGGTATGGGTCATCCATTGTCATTAGGAGCACGATAATAGGTTCTGGACTGCTAGTAAACCAACGTAATTACTTTTAGGATTCGAAATTTGTCTTGCCCCGCCAAGTGAATCGTTGTTTTAAGCTGCTTCGGCTGGCTTCGATTTTGACCTTGTACTTTGGCTGGTAGAATTTTAAAAACAGGCCTATGATTTTCCATTGGGATCTGATTCAGATAACATGGTGGCCATCAGATATCTGCCACATTTTTTCCTGCAATTCCATCTGGCGTGGAAGGGCCGCATGGACAGCTGCGTTATCGTGCGTAAAATTCAATGATCAAGAGGGATTGTTTGTCGAAAAAAATGGTGAAAGTCGCCTTTAAAAGAACTTCACGATACCCTATGGAATCCTCGTGAAAAGAAACAAAAGCGAGCTCTAGCCGCTCAGTCGTTCAAAGGTGCCTCAACGATGAGGGATTCTCCGCCGAAAAGAAAATTTTTGGCGCGGAAACATTAAAAGCATCTGCGATTTTCACGGAACCCTCCTGTACCCTCTTTTTCCATATCCACCTAGAATAAAACTTTTTCACGTCGATCTCAGATCACCTGTAGCATGAAACAAGGAGGTAGAGTCCAAGATCGCGAAGGGTCTTAACAGCCACACCTTCGTTCATTAAGTTGAGCCCTTTTCCACGGAGAAATGGAGACGTGCGATCTTGTAGCGCTCAAATAATCTTGGAACGCTCTTCATCAATCCGCTGAAGATGTTATTGCTCTGCTGGCTTACTCACCACACGGTGGTTTTGCTCACGGAAGGCCGCATTTCAGCACGGACTTTGTTCGGACTCCTTGTATAATTCGAGAGAAGACACCCAATTCCTCCTAAATTTTGAAGGAAACGCAGTCTTTATTTACCTAAGCGACTCTTCTCTCCGCACTGACCAGGATTTTGCACATAGTCGCTTATGCAGTATGAGCCGGCCGACATGGGAGGAAATTCTGCTCCTCAGCTATCCCACTTCAGTAAGTGCTCTGGCTTGAGCTTGTTACTGGGAAGAGAGGCGAAGTAACACGAGGTATGGTAAACTCGATGTCGACTGAGCTCACATATATCCCCGCTTCCCTGATTCCCTTCACGGATCGTGAGAAATGGAAACTTTTTATGAGTGGCCCGATATTCATGAAACGGTGAAAATTCGTTCTGAAAAAGTTAATTGGGTTACTTGAGGGGGGAACTTTGTCAGAAAAACACTATGAAGGTTTTCCGTGATGAGGAATCTAATGGTGATAGCAGCATTTCCAAAAAATGCACAGCAACTTTGGGGTAGCAAAAATTTAGGGTGGACCTATAATTATGAAACGCAGTGTATTCCTTTTGCTTCTTTTTTTTCGCTTTATTACGCTTTATCATTCTAAAACCTTTTTTAAACCACGTTTTGTTCTTGCTCTTCCCTATTCTAGACATGAGCAACATCGACGTAGCCACCCCGCTTACCCACGGACACCTACAGTACCACCACTGCCACGTCTCTACATCAATGAGATCGTGGAATCTTTTAGCTCTCAAGTTGAGTTTTCTTTGAGTCCGGGACGAGCTTTTCGTGGCTGAGGGAGGTGTAAAGGATACTGTAGCTAAGAAATTGACCGGGAATATTTCTCAGGCTGGAATGTTGGAGATGGATTGCGGCGATAACGCTGGGACGCTGAAGGGAGGCGACGATGCCACAAGCAGTTGGAGGAGATCTGCGAAGCCGCCGGAAGGCCTCGGGATCCGCGCCGGATAGTCAGCAGCCGCCCGTCACTTCTTCGTTTAGCCCTTTTTACTCGATGCCTTGTTCTCCGTAGTGATATCTTCACTTTGAGCCTATGTACTGCATTTCGCTAGCTATGCCTCATATACTGTCCAATAAATCTTATATTATTCCTGATTCTATCCACCGTGTGGGCGCAGCACTTACTATACGCTCGGGGTATGCAACTAAAGTTGTCATCGCATTATCCTATTCTATCCACCGTGTGGGCGCAGCACTTACTATACGCTCGGGGTATGTAACTAAAGTTGTCCCCCCATTTAAGGCGCGCCATGCTGCCGAGAGCGCTCTTGCACAGTCGAGGTGCGATGCTTTGCATCACTTTATTACCAGAATAACGAAGTCAGTCCTTGGTGCAGGTCAGCTATTCAAGACACTACACTCACTTCATCACTTCTTGAATGATGTGAAGATGTCCGATTGCTCCCTCATAGGCGATGGATTGGGTTTGCGCACATCTGAAGTGGAAGTCTCTATAGGGCTCTGCTAACATTTGGATCGACGACGGGAAGTTTATGATGCTTAGAGACCACAGCACAAGCGCATGTGTGGCATCTTGCCGGAAAAGGTGCCAATCCAGCTGTTATCCGTAAAACGAGGCGGAGGCCTATGGTAGTTCCGTAAAAGAGGTGGAACTACAACGAAGGAGTGGTGAAGGCTGACGTATACAGTCATGTCCTAGAAGGTGTAATGTATTCAGGCGCACAGCACTTGCACCGAACTGACTTCCTCTTCTCACATACTGCGATCCAAAGCATCGCACCGCAATATGCAAAAGTACTCTCAATAGCATGGCGCCGCTTTACAGGAGGGGCAAAATCCCGAGCGTCATCGAGACACTATGCAAAGGGATGGGGAAAGTTTTGGCAGGGCGAAAAAAGAGGCAGGAAAAATGGAGGGAAACTCTCAAAGTTTCAGCAACTCCTTAAGGCTACTAACAAATATGTATTGAATATGCTCGATGTTTTTTTCATCATGCGTTCGACTGTTTGTGTTGAATTATAAGCTTCTTGCAATAATTTCAAGCTTACTTGGAAACTTGTCCATGCTCGAGAACTTCTAGTGAAAGGAATTTTTCATTCTTCAACTCTATCTCTCTCCCATCCAACACTAATACATTAGTTTAGCGAAGAAGGCTTGCCTCCTAAATATGTATATCAAAATTTGGACTGATTTGATTCAGCAGAAATAAATTACGGCC